TATGGGAGGGAGACACCATAATCTTTTCAGTTCTTAGAGTCTCTAAAGGGCTTAATCCAGCCCTGTACAGGAAGGTAGAGTGATGGTTTTTGATGATGAAAGTCACATTCAGCTATGGTAGAAAATTCTTTGGAGGAGATCTCTTATTTAAATACAGTAAAGTCTCGGTTATCCGACTTTCACTATCCGACCTTCCGTTTTATCCGACGGTGCCGCCTGTCACGTGACAGCACGGGGCTCCAGGGACACTTCATACCACAAGGGCATGCAGCGCGGGCTTGGCAACCCTACCTCCTCACCCCACACCTGGGGCAGCTCACACCTGTGCTGCGGACTCACCCGGCGCTCAGGTATGCTGGGCCCGTGTCCCGCTCGGGGCCCAATCCTGGCTGTCCTGCTGTGTTAGTGGCTCCTTTTTTGGGAGCCGGCCTGGATCCGGTCGGAGCAAGCAGGGAGTCTGGGCTGAGGCAGGAAGAAAAGGGGAGGGGGGTTGTGGCGAGGGGAGGCAGGAGCGCCAGTGCCTTGGGCATATCTGGGTGGCCCGGAGTCTGGGCCAAGGCAGGAAGGGGAGGGGGGGGGGGAGCAGGGGGAGGGGCCGCCACCGGGCTGAGGAGAGGGAGGAGCGCCGGGGCCTTGGGCATCTCCGAGCAGCCCGGGGGAGGAGGGAGGAAGAGGAAGGGGAAGGACGCAGTGTCCAGAAGCCGCCGGGGAGGGGGTAGCACACTCACCAACCGCCCCCAAGACAAAGAGCAGAGTCTGCTTGGGAGGCTTCCCCCCGCCCCCAACTGCTGCTGCCGCCGCTGCCACCACTATTATTTGACATTTCCGGTTATCCGATCATCCTCCAGTCCCGTTTAGGTCGGATAACCAAGACTTTACTGTATTCAGTATCTAAGTTCTGATGTCAGTGAAAACAGAGGCTAGCTCACTCAAGTTACAAACTTGGGATTGGCCAACATTTTCAATAAGGGTATGTCTACACTAGACCCCTAGTTTGAACTAGGGTGGCTAATGTAGGCATTCAAAGCTGCAAATGAAGCCCGGGATTTAAATATCCCGGGCTTTATTTGCATGTTCCCGTCTGGTCGCCATTTTAAAATTCCACTAGTCTGAAGTAACTGCCCGCAGCTACACGCGGCAGTGAAACGGTCATTCAAACTAAGTCCTTAGTTCGAATTAATTGTTACACCTCATTCCATGACTCAGGACTTAGTTCGAATGACCGTTTCACTGCGGGCAGTTACTTCGGACTAGTGGAATTTAAAAATGGCGACCGGATGGGAAGATGCAAATAAAGCCCGAGATATTTAAATCCCAGGCTTCATTTGCAACTTCGAATGCCTACATTAGCCTCCCTAGTTCGAACTAGGGGGCTAGTATAGACATACCCTAAGAGATGTATTCTTTGTTGGTTGCTTCAGGTCTCAAGCTCTGTCCCTGCTCTGCCCTATTTACCTTCTCAAGTTATTCCCAAACTCCCACTTTTTCCTGCTGTTTCCTTTCAACACTTTCTGCCACATATGAATCTCACCTCCCCTTCCAGTGTCCACAGGTAATGGATGAGTAATGTTGGTAGAGATGATGCTTAGTTGTCACTTTGTAAGCCATTACAAAGTCCATGAGCTGCAGCTAACTTTATGTATGCTTCTTGGGTAATCCAAGGGGCTAGCTCAGTGCATTACTGAAACAAGAAAGAAAAAAGTAACCATCCCCAATCAATCCCTACTTTGGGTTTCCCACAGATTTTCCTGTGAATGCTAATGGTTCACTTTAAAATAGACATGATTAGCAGAAGCATGGCATATTCAAAAGTTGTTCTGGTCGGCAATGGGGTATCTCCATTATAATAGCACAGTTTGAAGTTAACGTATTGGTCTGGGTTAAAATAAGCTGGCATTGAGCAGAGTCCCTAATAGACGAGAGGATTGCAGTGATGGTTAGAGACCTATTCACATTCATTAGGGTATGTGGAGTGTAGTATTTACATTACATTTGACCTTGTATCTCTTATGACAGCAGTTTAATTCTTTATGTAATGGAACTGAGGTGCTATATAGGGTTTCAAGACACTGCTTGTACATTGTATTATTTGTATGGCAGAAATGCCTACAGGCTCCAACTAAGATCAGCTCCTCGTTGCAATAAGCACTGTACACATGCACTGTGACAGAACCTTCCTGCCCGTAAGACTCTAGAATCTACTAGGTAAAAGGAGGGAGCATTAACATTATTTTCTTTTTAGAAAATGGGACTGTGAAGCACAGAGGGGTTCAATGACTCACCTAGTACCACACAGGACAGCTGTGGCAGGACCAGGAGGTGAACCCAGTCTTCCTGAGGTCTGGTTCAGTGCACCTTTCCCTTTCTGTTGAACAGCAACAGTGCAGAGCAACTGCTGAGACAAGTACAGCAAATGCGCCTCAAATGGAAACCATTTTGTCAGTGATAGTTGCATAATATCTAAATTAGAAGACTCCAAAAATCTGAACAAAGTCTGTCAAGTCAAACTACACTAGTATCTATAATCCAACTAGATTTCTTGAACTGCAGAATTCACAACAGTGACATCCTGAGTATCCCGCTAAAGCAGGGATGGGCAATACTTTGGGAAGGGGGGCCACTTCACAAATTTCGGAAGTGGCTGCAGACTGACCTGGAAGGGGTGGGGCCTCAGGTGGAAGGGGCATGGTTGAGAACCAGCCTGCTAGGTACAGTGACCTTATTTTCTGACCCAGCTACAGCTAGTAAGAACAGTTTAATGTTAATTATGAAACAGATTAAGTGTTTCAACGTTCTCATGTTAGTTTATCAAACTTTGTAAAATATGACGTCCAACGCAAACGTTTCAATGGTTTTTTTATTTACGGCAGGGGTGGTGAACCCTTTTTGGATCGGGGTCGCTGACCGACAAAAAAATCAGTTGAGGACCACATAAGTGAGAAGCAAAAAAACTCCTCCAACCCTCCCCCTCCTCCCAATGCTCACTGATGTGGCCCCAACTGAGACACCTCACTCCTCTGGTGTCCCAGTCTCACGGGGTGAGGGGAAGGGAAGGAGGGAACTGAAGTTCAGGGTTTCCCATAGACCAGATTTACTTTTCTGGGATTCTGGAGTTAGTGGATTTTATGGACCTCCTTAGGCCCTGGGGGTAGGGACACAAATGAGGGGTACAGTACATGAGACAGGGCTGCCAGCAAGTAGGATAGGGATGAGGTGCAGGACCTGGAAGGGAGCTGGGGTGCAGAAGCAGTCTGGGAATAGGGTATCTGGCCAGGTAGAGGGAGCAGGAAAAAGGGAGGGTACAGCGCATGGCCAGGAGAGTGGGTGCAAGAACAAGGGAGAGTGTCGGAACAAGCTGGGGGTGCCGGGTCTTATGGGGGAGGGAAGTGATGGGATTGGGTGGAGGTGGGGATCTGGGCATGAGCGGGAACATTACCTGGGCATTACCTGGCTTCATGCCCCCTTGCAGCAATGGCTGCAGCCATGCTGTCCTGGCCGCCCTGGAGGGAGGCTCTACTGCTGCAGCCACACAGTCCTGGAGGCTGGAGACACCGCTGCAATAGCCACACAGCCTAGGGCCAGCCCCAAGGCACCACAGCCACAGGCTGCCCTGGAGGTGCTGTGGCCTGAGGCCGGCCCCAGAGGTGCCACTGCTGTGGCTACACGGCTTGGGGTTGGCCCTGGAGGTGACGCAGCCACAGGCTGCCCCGGAGGCTGGAGGCGCTTCTGTCAGCAGTGGTGGGACATCCATAGAGGCGAACTAGGTGGTTTCCTAAGGCGCCAAAGTTAAACGGTGTGGAGGGGTTTGGAGCTGGGGGCGCCGATCGCACATTTCGCCTAGGGCGCCAGTTGCCGGCAGCTCGTCTGGGGCCGCTCCTGGCTGTCAGGGCCACAGTGCTTGGGGCCATCCCGGGAGGCACCACATCCACGCATCCCCAGCCCGTTCCAGCAGCTGAAGGCTCCGCAGCGGGGGGCCAGCCCCAGAAGTGGGGTGGCATCAGCGCCTCAAGCTTACAGGGCCAGCCCCAGACCACAGTAGTGGCGCCTCCAGGACCAGCCCTGTTGAGGAGCCTCAGTCCCAGCGATGCCTGTTCTCCCGCAGCTGTGCAGGGGGAGAAGAGGCGGGGCTGAGCTCCTTCCCCTGTGGGGCATGTCCGTTAGGGGCTGCGGCCTGGAATTGCCTCATGGGCTGGATCAAAGCCCAAGGCAGGCCGGATCCAGCCTTCTGAGAGGCTTTTGCCCACTTCTGAGCTAAAGAGTAAAGCGTACTGGTGGTAAAGAACAAATCCATGGTCCTGCCTTACAGGTTCTAACCCCTTAGTGTACGTCTACACTGCCCAGCTATTTTGGGATACCAGAGATATCCCAAAATAGCTACCCCACCTCTACATAAGCCACTTGTTATTTTGAAATATTTTTTGAAATAATGGGCATGCTATGGCTCGAAATAGTGTGTTATTTTGAAATTTGGCGCTGTGTAGACATACGCATATGTGTAGATATACGCATAGCACAAATTGCGTATCTTTTGAGTTTGAGATTCACCCATTGATGCATTTCTTGCCTATGTTTGTTTCAAAGAGCTACAAGCCATAGTATAGGGCTATTTGAGCACAAAGCTGAAATGAATCTCAAATGGTGTATTTTCAGGTTCCCTACATTGATACATGTGCATGCAGCAGCCAGTGCAAACAAGAGGTCAGAGCTGCATCAAATGAATCCTCTATGTTATTATATATTGGTTATACAGACTAGCTCCCTGATGTTGCAGATGCTAGTGCTGCTGGTGCTGGTAACTGCTACAGAAGGCTATTCAGCTTCGCTTTGCAGTCTACTCTATCCTCTGATTCACTGGGAGATACAGTAGCTGTAGCAGCAGATTAGACTTTTTTTTCTCTTCTCTCTTTTCTCTCGCCCCCACCCCTGAGACCTCTGTGCTTTGACGTCATATGTGCTCCTTTCAGTTGCCATAGCAGCCCCATTCCCCAAGCCCTCTGCCTGTCTCCTCTGGTAGGTTCCACAATGGTACAGCCAGCATCACGCTGCACAATGGTTTCCAGGCAGTGAAAGAGGGTGATTCAGCAAGCCACTCTTTCTTCCTTTTTTATTTTATTATCATATGTTTTCTCTCCCTTTCTCTCCTCTGCTTTATTTTTTTCCCCAGGGTTTTTATTCAGTACACTTTTTTAAAAATTGGTTTGCCTTGAAGTCACCTGCCCATCATTATAATTTTTTTTAATACCCCATCTCTTCCTCCTCAGTCTGGAATGTGGTTAAAAATACAACGTAAGGTCGCAGTTTGAGGGAAGGGTTGCTGTACCAGGAGCATAGTTCGCAGGCACGGAATGGTAGGTGGTTGATGCTAATATTCTACGACTAACCTGCCTTTGCAGGGTGGGCTGCTGAATATTGATTGTTGATTTAAAAAAGAGAGAGAGAGAGAGACAGATTATTGAAGTAAACTGCTAACTGATGCAAGAAAGCAGCAGCATTACACAGTTTGTGGCTGGAGAACCATCGTTTTCCTGTATTGGGTGTGTATGAACATTTCTATTTGGGCTCAGTTAGGTGGCCAGTGGTTTTAGGAGCAGTACAGAGGCACAGCATGGATGGGGTGATAGTGATTTAACAGCTGGTGCATGTAAACAGTAGTGCTGTACTAAGTCTCCTTACTTCTGAAGATATTGTGGCTTTCCTTGGGAGATATTTTCTTGTCTTTTAAATCAGCAAAGTAAACATTTTGTTTGGGTCTGTATCTATCTGTCTAGAGCTATACAAAATAAATGTAATAGACCTTTTAAAAAGGAATTGCTATTAACTAATATCTTTTGTGATGCAGAAGCTAAAAGTACTCAAATTGTGTATCAGGGTTAAATGTAAAAAATGGACAAAAAGGCAGGGAGAGCAAGTGTGCCTGAAAAATTATGGTGTTGGGATGTGTGGGGGTAGCTAATGGAAATTATAGGTAGGTGGAGGCATGTCTTTAAGGAAGAAGTCTCTTAAGGTAGGCATCATTCCACTGCATGACTTCCAGATCTAACTGCTCAAAAACTGATGCATTTTTCAGAGATACCAAAAGCCCTTAGAAAAACAACAGAAAATAATTTGCTAGTGGTATGCTACAGAAAATAATTCAACAGTTTCTTAGACTGCAGTGAAATGAATGGAAAAAATCCTCACACAAATCTGGTGGCACAGCTATTGCAACAGAATAACTATTTTGCTTCTTTTCTTTTGCAAAAGGGGGCTTATTACAAAATAATATGCATTTTCCTTGTAGAGTGACATGCCACAGTCATGCCTAATAAGCAAACTGTGCCCCTGGGGAATCTGAATGGCCTTGTTCCTTAAGTGATTGTTAGCTTGTTTACATGGGCTCCTTTTTACTGCATAGCTTCACCATCTCCTCAATGCAGCCCTCCTCTTCCGTGATGGTGTTCAGCGTGACTTTTGCAAGAACCCTGGTGAAAGATGAACCAGGCCAATATATAAATCCACATTTTACCAAAGGAAATTAAAACAGAGGGAGA